TTTTGGGGGGGAAGGGGGTAATAAAAACACGGACGTTTCCGAAAACGATATCATTTAAGGTCCTTTTTCCAAATTTTCCGCGTTTAAAAAATACCGCGAATTTTTTTTTAATTTGAAAAAAATCAACATAAATTTTTATTCTTAATTGTTTTTTATCTCTTACGAATCACAAATAAAAAAATAAGTTTTCTTACAATTCCAAAAAAGAATGATTCTTATGACGTGATAGAAAAGTATAAAATTTTCCCATTTATTTTAGTTTTTTTTGTTTTATACTTTTCTTAAACGGGAAAAAAAAAAATGTCTGTCTGTCTGTCATCGTTACTCTTTATCCACACACACCCCCCCCGTACCACCCCACCACCCTCTTTAAAATTTTCCCGACAAGGATTTAAAAACCTTGTCGTATTTTTTTTTTTTTTTATGCATCGAAAAAGGGGTAACAAAGGAAAGGAAAAGGAAAAACTATAAAAATTTTTTAACAACGTTTGCGTTAAAGCCTCTATGCGTTTTTTTTTTAACGACGAGTTATTCACGAAGATATTTTTTTTTTTAAAAATTACTCGGGTAATAAATTATCAAGCTTTAAATTTTTAATTAAAAAATATTTATGAATCATAATCATAAAAGGGAGGAACTAAAAAAAAAAAAAAAGGAAAAAAGGAAAAACAATAGAATTATTTTTTCCTTATTTTTTTTATTGTGTACATTGTCGTTATTAACGCCCTGAACGTTTATTATTATTATTATTATTATTGTTTATTTAATGATAAATATTTTGAATAGAAAATTGGGAAATTAAAAAAAAACAAATTTCCTTTAGTAATTATTATTATTATTAAATTTTCCGCGGTTAAAAAAATTTTTTTAAAATAATATTTATTCAATAAACGTTTTTAAAAAAAAAAATTGTCAAAGGAAATAAATCATTTCGATTATTAAAAAAAAAAAAACCGATAAATTGGTTATGTTGTTAAATAAATTTTATTTCTGCGGAAAATGCGAAAAATTTTACAAAAAAAAAAAATTAAACGATGGCGATGGTGGTGGTGGTGGTGGCGGAAGCGGAGGCGAAAGGGAGAGAAAATGTGTCGATGACGGTGACGGTGACGGTGGTGGTGGTGACGGCGGTGTCGGAATGCATCGCAGTAGTTGTTAAAAAAAAGGAAAAGAAAATTTATTCGTTAAATAAAAAAAAAAAAGGATCGATTTTCAAAAGGAGAGAAAAAAAATCCGGTTAAATTATCTGTTAGGGATGCTGTCTGGACCATCCTACAAAATTATCCGAAATTAATAAAAAAAAATTTTTTTTCATTCTTTTCCTTTCCTTTTTTTTGTGTTCGGATCGAATAACTTTAGGCAAAATAAGGAAAATAAGAGAGAAAAAGAGGGGGGAAAAGGGATAAAAGAAAGAGAAAGGGGGGGAGAGAGAGAGAAATGAAATAAATGAAAATTATTTCCTACAGCACGTGGAGTGGTAACAGTTAAAAAAAATAAAATCCTTTCGCACATTTTCTTTTTTTTCAATTCTTTTTTTTTTTTTTTTTGATTCCTTTTTCCTTTTCTCTCTCTCTCCCACTCCCTCTCCCTCTCTCTCTCACTCTTATTCATTTTATTTTTTATTTCTTTCCATTTTTTTTGGGTTTTTTTTTCTCTTTCTTCTCTACAAGAAATATCTATTAGCAATATCCTCACAGTTTTTTCTTTTTTTTTCTTTTCTTTTTCATTTTTTTTGCCCTTCCTTTTTCCTTTTTTCTTTTTCATTTTCTTTTTTTTTTCATTGTTCTTACAATAAAGTTGAGAAAAAAATGGTTGAAGGCGACAAACAAAAAAAAAAAAAAAAGAAAGGGCACATTCCCATGACAAAAAAGAGAGAAGAAGAAGAAAAAGAGTGAATCATGAAAACGACTTTCGGAAGAGAGCAATATGATGAAATTTAAGTTCCTTTAACATCTGACGCTCGTTCGGATAAAAAAAATTGGTAAAAAAGGAAAGAAAAAAAAGGAAAAAAGGAAAGAAAAAAGGAAAGGAAAAATTTTTATCTTTCGCAAGGGAAAGGACAATAGGTGGCAAAAAACGTTATAAAATTTTTTTTCTTTTTTTTTTTAAATCTCGGCAAAGGAAACAAATAAAAAAATTTTTTTATTTTCTAAAAATGGCGTCGAGGAATACGAAGGAGAGGTTAATGCCCCATTTTTTTTTTCAAATTTTGGCGCGTAAATTTAGGTAAACATTTAATTAAAAAAAACGCGCGTCATAATTTTTAGGTTAATTTTATAGTACTATAACGGTTTTTCCTTAACATTTAAATTAATCCAATGGCGGCGGTCAAATAAAAAAAAAAAACATTTTACATGTTATTATTACTATTATTATTTGATTTTTAACAAACGTTTAATTCCTATCTGCCTCTATATTTTTACTATAAAGTCGAATAAATCTATCAAACGCGTGAGTTATTTTTAAATTTATCAAACAACAACAACAAAATTTTTTTTTTTTCTTTTTTTCTTTTTTTTTTTACGTTTACTTTTCTCGTTAACAATAAGATTTACAACGTTTTTAAATCTTTTTCTAATATAAAAAAAGAAAGAAAGAAAGAAAAAGTTTTTTTTTTCTTTTCTTTTCTTTTTTCTTTTTTTTTTCTAGAATTAAAAAGAAAAATAATAAAAAAAAAAAAAAAATCGAAATGAAAATAAAATTAAAATAAAAAACGAACGAACGAACGAAACGAGAATAAACTTTAAAAAAAGAAAAAAGATTTTTTTTTTTATATAAAAAATAAGTTTCTTATTTAAAAAACATTTTTTTTATCAATCTTCTTACGTGTCTCTTTCTCACACATTATTTCCTCATTTTTTTAATAATAATTATTAATTTGACCTTTGAAAATAAATATTAAAAAATTCGTCTTCTGCTTGTTTTTTTTTTCATTTTCGTCTCGTTGCCGTTATAATAAAATTAATTTTTTTTGATACCCTTTGTTATTATTTCGTCTCGTTGCCCCCCACCCAAAAAAAAATAAAATTAAAAAAAAAATTTTTTAATCTTTTCGTCTCGTTTTCTTTCTCCCCTTCTTGTTTTTTTTTACCTCCTTTAAAATGACGTCCACCGACTTCCGCCGGAATTACATTCTCATCTTCTTATTTTATTATTAATATTATTATTATTATTATTATTTATTAAACATTGTAATAATTTTTTTTATTATTGAAAATTCAATTTATAAAAATGTCATTTTTTACCTTATTCCTTACCCGTAACCTTTTCCGAACCCTTTCCTTATATTTCAAAATCTCATTATTCGTTTCCTATACCACTTTTCCCTCCCCTCCACCCACCATCGACGAGGAAAAAAAAGGCGGGAATTTTTAAAAAATTGACAAAAAAAAAATTATTGTTCGTATCGTATCGTCGTTTTGTTCGATACAAGAGAGAAAAATTTTTTTTTTGTCGATGAAACGCTCTATAAAAAAACCCTTCTATATTTTTTTTGGGAAATTTTTATAGCTCTATATTAATTGCTATATATATTTATTATATTATGCTATATATATAAAATTATTTTTTCGTTTTAATTTTTTTTATTATTAATAATGGCAAAAGAATGTCAAGCATGTTTAATATGAAAAAAAAAAAAAAAAAAAAAATTTTTTTCCTTTCTGCGTGTTTTTACCTGTGTATTTCATTTTTTTTTCTACCTCACCGAACGTCGATCCCTTCTTCCCCACCCGACCCCCAAAGGCCCAACAAGGCCCCTTCTCCTTTCTCACATCCGTTTCCTTTTGGGCCCTTTAAAAATTCCCGTCACCCGTTTTTCATTTCGTATAAAATTCTTTCTAATTTTCCACCTCATCCTTTTTTTCTCTCTCTCTCTCTTCCGCTTGATTCCGTTAAGGTTACCCTACCCCCCCTCATTCTTACTTTATTTTTTTAAATAATGCCCTAAAAAAAAAAGGCCCCTTTGCCACCATTTATTTTGAATATTTTAAACCGGGGAAAAAAAAATTTAATAAAACAATAAAAAAATTAAATTTTTTTTGTCGTATTTCCGACAACAATAAAAACATTCTCACGTTTTACTAGTTTTTTTTTTTCGTTTTTGCTGTTGCTGTTGCTGTAGTGTTGTTTTAAAAGATTCATATCGTTTTTTTTTTTTTTAAAAAAAAACGTGAAAATTTTTCACAAAAGAATTTTTTTTTCTTTTCTCTTTTTCTTGTGTTCGCGCTTTTCCATTATGTTCTCTCATCTATTCTTTTTCTTCTTTTTCGTTTTTTTTTTTTTCTTTTTGCTGTTGTTCGTGTAAAAAGAATCAAAAAAAAAGCCATTGTAAAAGTTTAACAAAGATGCTAATAGACTTTTAAAAGTAGACAAAAGAAATTTTTTTTGAAAGTCTGACAAAGACTAAATAAAAAATAAAAAAAAAAAGCGACAGAAAAAAAAAATTTTTTTTTCCTTTCTTTTTCTTAAAAAATTGTTCGAAGTTAATTTTACGCAATAATAATAATAATAGGAAACGACACAAAGGTTCAGGTATCGTAAAATTTATTTTATATGCGTTTGAGATTCGCGGGAAAAAAAAAAACTTTTTCTTTCTTTCGCCTCCCCTTCTTTCCCTTCTTTTCCCCTCTTTCCTCCCCTCGTAAATATTTTAAACGTAAAAAAATTAATTTATGTTTTTGTCGTGTAGTCATTTAAACAAAAAAATTATCGGTAGACGTGGTTCCAGACATATAAATTAAAGTTTAAAAAGTTTTTTTTATTTTTTAAATAAAATATGGAGATGAGGGAGGGAAAAAAATGATAATAATAATAATAATAATTTTGTTAATTTTTAATAAGAACGTTTTTTTTTTCATTTCTCCTTTCTCCTTCCACGACAATTTACAACATCAAAAAAAATCTCTCTGCTTTTCTATAAATTATCGGGGACGCGAAATTTTGTAAATAAAATTTTTTTTTATTGTATATAATTATAAGTTAAATATATATTTTTTCAGGGACGGATTGACACATTTCGGAGGCGGTCATCTTACCAGACAACAACTACAAACATTACAAAACGTCACGGATCTATTACGTCACACGTTTGTGAGTCAATTTGTTTTTCCGGTATTGGGAAGAGAAGATTCTCCAGATCCCGTACGAAGATTTAAACACATTGATAAAGGTTATAGAGAATTAGCGGATTTGTGGCGTCATTGGTTACCGACGGAAGCCATTCAAACTTTTACCAAAGGTACAAACGAACCCGAAATATTTATTTTACATTATATTATTATCATCATCATTATTTCCTTTATATCGATATTATACGCTTTAAAAACAAAAATTTTTTTTTTAATTTTTTAAGTTATTCGAATTGTTTTACCTAGAAAGTTATTGTTTTTGTTGTTGTTTATATAAAAATAAAATAAAATAAAATATTTACATCGTTAAAAAAAAAAAACAAAAAAAAAATCTGGAGGGAAGCCATTTTGTAATCTTTTTTTAATTAAAAAGAGAAAATTTATTAAAAAATTATTTTCATCTTATCTCCTTATCGAAACTCTTACTTTTTTACTTCATTAAAATCTTTTTTTTTTTTTTTTTTTTTTTTTTTTTAATTACGAATTCTTCTTTTTCTCTTGTAATTATTATTTTCACGACGACAATCCGTATTAATAATGTTTGTCGGAGCTTTTTCAACATATTTACATTCCAGATTTCTACCCGCCGATTCCTAAGGAATATCAGTGATATTCCTGTATGCCTGTGACATTACAACAAAAATGAGTTGACTCAGGCCGGCAATAAAACAAGATTTCTCTTTTGGTTCTTCTGTCTTTATCTTGTTCTCATTTTCCTCCTCTATTATAATTATGAATGAGTCATAATATAGCTTTTCCTTTCAAACTATTTCAATACTAAATTTTCCTACTATTTCCATCCCCTTTTCATAATTTCCCCTCATGTGAAAATGCACACAATATACAAATTACAATTTTGTACCTATAAAAGGCAGTTCAAAATTTTTCTAATCTTAATTTGAAATTTTACACTAAAAATATGAAAAAATACGTTAAGATGTATCAGAAAAATATAAAGACGAAGAGGTTTAGTTTTTTTCTACTTTAACGAATCACGAGTGAAAATCGAAGTGTGATTTAATACCCTAAATTAACCAATCACGAGTATCTTCGATACCTTTAATAGAAAAATACATCAAAATGTATCAACCAATCACGAGTATTTTTGATTCTTTTATTTGCAAAATACGCTGAAATGTATCAACCAATCACGAGTGAAGGGGAAATGTAACAAAAAAAAAAAAAAAAAAAAGGAATATTTTTGATAGTTTTAATAGCAAAATACGTTAAGATGTATCAGAAAAATATAATAATAAAGAGGTACGATGAAATCATCAAGTCACGAGTGAAAATGAAGGTGTGATTTTCATATTCTAAATTAACCAATCACGAGTAACTTCGATACATTTAATCGCAAAATGTTTCAACCAATCACGAGTATTTTCGATACATTTAACCGCAAAATGTATCAACCAATCACGAGTGAAAATGGATTTGTGAATTTTATACCTTAAATTAACCAATTACGAGTATTTTTGATATTTTTAATCGCAAAATACATTAACGTTAAAATGCATCAACCAATCAATAAGAAAATGTAGGGGTAAAGGGAGATACAAAATTTTAATTTTTTAAACGATTTTTATTGGTAAAATAAGTTAAGATGTATCAGAAAAACATAAGAAAAAGGAGGTGTAAAAAAAAGTACGAAAAACGGAGCATTTTTGATGCGAGAAAACGTTAAGATGTATCAGAAAAATATAATAATAAAGAGGTACGATGAAATCATCAAGTTACGAGTGAAAATGGAGGTGTGATTTTCATATTCTAAATTAACCAATCACGAGTTTTTTTGATTCTTTTATTTGCAAAATACGCTGAAATGTATCAACCAATCACGAGTATTTTTGTTTCTTTTATTTGCAAATACGATGAAATGTATCAACCAATCACGAGTATTTTTGATTCTTTTAATTGTAAAATACATCAAAATATATGAACCAATCACAAGAAAATGCGCGTGTAAAATAAAATTTTTAATAAATAATATTTTTTGATACTTTTAACATATTTTAAGTATTTTTTTTTTATGATGAGATGAAAAAGATATTTAATAAAGTCTTTATAATTAACCAAATAAATGTAAAATTTTTGAGTATTTGCTCAATTTCTTAGTTAGCCAAACGTTTTTGCAAATGAAATTTAAGGTACTTACCCTATAATAATCAAATGTACTAAGGCATTTTCTAAGGTTTTTTTTTTTTATTGCCCAGACTTTCTTTTGTTTCACATGAAGCCATGTTGATCATTTGTAAATTTAAAAGTGTATATATAAGTTAAAATGATGTAAAGGTGTGTGTGTGTCAATCAAAAGCACACCCGCGTCCTCTTTATTATTATTATTATTAAATAAACTTAGGAAAATTTTAAATAATAATTTTTAATTATTGTTTTTTTTTTTTTTTTTTTTTTTATTGTTTTTAGGAGGTTATTATACAATCGAACAAAAAGAAAGAAAACTTCGTCTTGTTGCATTAAATACAAATCTTTTTTCGGGATCAGCTGGTCCAGATGAAGATCCTGGAGGCCAATGGTCTTGGTTGGAATCCGTCCTTGCAAAATCTAGTAAAAATCGTGAAACGGTAAATATATCTATGTAAAATTTTTTTTTTTTTTAGAAATTGAAAATGGGGGGGAAAAGAAAAAATTAGCATTTATTGAAAATTCGTGAGTCGATGGGAGGGGGGGGGGGAGATCCGTACGGATGACGACACCAAATAATTGGATCCGATCAAAATCGCTTCAGGAATGATCCAGAAATTGTTTTTATATCTTGTTACCATAATTGGAAATATATAGATTTTTTTTTCTTGTGGTTTTTTTTTTTTTTTCACATCATCCGTTAAGAACATTATAAAATGGCTGACTGACTGACTGCCAATGGGTAATAATGATTGATGGAGGGAGAGGGAAGGAGGGGAAGTGAGGAGAGAGAGAGAGAAATTAAAAAACTAATTTTTTTAAATGTAATTAAAAGTATGAAAAAAACAAAATTTCAGGTATATTTAGTCGGTCACATACCACCGGGTGTTGACGAACGTCAAGGTGGAGGATTACCACCTTCTCAATTTGCTTATCAGCACAGATTTAACAGAAAATATCTTCAGTTGGTACGAAAATATTCAGAAACGATCGTCGGACAATTTTTCGGTCATTTACATTCGGACACTTTTCGAATCGTTTACAGCGACACAGGTAAAAAAAATAATATTAAAGATTCAGTACGTACCTGTCGTACGTACCACGAAAAAAGTTTTTAAAAAATTTTTCGTTTCCAGGAGTTCCAGTATCTTGGATGTTTTTATCACCGGCGGTTAGTCCAAAGAGAACGACCACACTACCCAACAATCCAGGTCTTAGATTATATAAATTCAATACGAACACAGGAAAAGTTTTAGATTACATGCAAATTTATTTAGATTTAAAAGTAAATAAATGAACTTTTGACATTTTTTTATTAACCGGAAATACATTATCATTATCATTATTATCAACATTTTTTTAGGCAACCCATGCAAGAGGAACACCCAATTGGGAAGTCGAATATAATTTTACGCATTATTATGGTTTAAACGAAATATCGGCTATATCGTTACACGATTTAGTCGAAAGTTTCAGAACAGAAGATTCCGAACTATTCATTAAGTGAGTATCGAAAATGCCCGAACGCCCGAACGTGTAAAACATTAACAACCAACCCATTTGAAAATTTTCCTTTTTCTTTTTGTCCAGGTATTTCAGAGCTAATTCCGTGCGATATCTTCCATCGCCGAAAGAAGGAAAATGTTTTTCTAATTGTTTACACAATCATTTTTGTGCCATCACGAGATTAGATTATCAAGATTTTGAAAGATGCGTCGAAACGACAGCATCCGCATTAGCATCCGCCGTTTCTTTTCTTAATTTCAATTCCAACAGGTTAATTCAAACGTTCATAACAACTTTACTCGTCGTTTATGTATTTTTTTTAAACGGTGTCTACAACACGGCACGTCCATTTTCATTTTCTTGATGTTAATTTTTTTTTACGTCGCGTTCCCCTTCCCTTTCTCCTCCCCTCCCCTCTCACCTCTCCCCAACCCCTACCATCCTCCATCCACTTCAACCTTTTCTCAAAATTATTCTTTTAAGCTAAATAAATAAATATATATTGTAAATTAATTTATATGTTGTACAAAAAATAATTAATTAATTAATAAATAAATGAATAAAACGTGGCATTAGATGTTTTAAACAAAAAAAATAAAAAAAATTATTTTTTATTAAATGGTGTAAATGATTATGATTACACATTATAATTAAATATCGATATTTATAGCGTGATAATAATAATAATTAAACGATGTTTTTTTATACCATACTACCCTTCTCCCCCCCCAGAGTGGATGAAAAAAAAAATTGTGCCGTGTAATTAATTATTATTATTATTATTGTTTAATTTAATCAATCAAATGATGAGTTTATTTGTGCCTTGGTTCTGATATTTTTTTTTCTTTTTTTTATTAAAAATAAATCAGATTTTCGGGCCGATAAATTTATGTATTTAAAAAATAAACTTATTAATTATTATCATCATTATTATTATTATTATTATCAATAATAAAAAAACATTAATTTAAATAAAAAAACAAAATAAATTAAATTGTTTATTTAAATAAATAAATTTAAACAAATGAATTTTAATCATTATTAACTTATTTGAAAATTCACCGCGCGTTTTATTTTCGTTTTCGTTATACTTCACAACCTTTCGACCTTTTCCCCCTTTTTTTGCGGGGAGCGGGATGGGAGAAGAAAAAAAAAGTTTTCCGGAAGAGGAAAGAAAATCGGGTTAGAAAAAAAAAAAAAGGGGAGGGGAAAGGTTAATAATTTTTTTAATAAATCACCGTAAAAGAACGCAATCGAATGTTCGATAATAATAATAATAATAATAATAATAAATATAAACAATTAATAATAAATAAATTAATTAATTAATTAATAATTTTTTAATGATAACACGTTTCATATACATACATATATATAATACATAACTCGTTTTAAACGCAAAAATTTCCGACATTTTTCTTTTTTCTTTTACAATGACGTCATTTTACGAAGAAAAAAAATAAATAAATAAATAATTTAAAAGCGAATTTTATGTGAAAAATTTTTATTCTGCTACCACTAACTACCACTACTAATACCACTACAATTTTTTTAAAGCTTATAAAAAAGAAAAATTAATTTTTCCCGGAAAAACGAATTTTGTACATTTTTATGTGTACGTGCGGCCACGTTCGCTTGAATTAAAAGCTCTCTTAAATGCAAACAAACAAAAAGAAAAAATTTACACGTGAATTATTATCATTATTATTATTACTTGTTAGTATTGGAAAAAATCAAAGAGAAAAAATCGTATCGTAGGATTAAAAACGTAACGGAAATCAAAAGGATGGAACCTTTCGAATTTCCGTTTCCGCCGACGCCGCTGCTGCAATCGTATGGTATCTCTTTTGTTTTTTCCATCAACCAATAGAAACCTTTCATTCTCGATTGTCTTTTCAATTCCGCTCCGACTTCTTGCATTACTCTCAAATGATACCCGTTCAACCAATCGACTTCCTCTCTCGACAACAACCTCGTGTCGATTAATTTCGATTCGAACGGAACTAAAGTCACGTCGTTGAATTCTAAATATTTCGACGGTTTCCCATCGAAATTATTCGATCCTTTCGATGTGACTTCAAGAACGTTCCCCAATTTCAAACCGTATTTGTACGGTTTCACATACGACGGTTCTTTAAAACAAAACCAGAGAGAGAGAGAAAAGAAAAAAAACAATTTTTAAAAATTGGCAACACTGTATGATAATATTAATGATAATAATAATGATTACTCACGACAAGTTAAAAAATACCCTTCCCTTATCGTTTGCCTATGTTGTTTCGAATCTGAATTTATGACGATCGGAGCTGAAATTTATCATTATTATCATTATTATTATCATTAATAATCGTTAAAATTTGCGAGGTACCAACTGATAAAAAATTTTACATTCGTAAACGTTCGAAAAACTTCCCAAACCGTGACCCAAATCCATTTTATAATTGATTCCCGATTTCCAAAGTTTCGATCTGACGATCGTGTCGAGATCCGTCGTTTTTGCCGTTACGGGAAAAGTGGCAGTAGAAAATTGTATCAGTGCTGAAAACGCAAATATTTATTAAAAAAAAAAATATCGTGATTTCCGGTTTAAAAAAAAAATTTCTTCGACGAACGTACCGGAAAGTATTTTAGTGTAATATTCGATCATGTCTCTCGTGGGCTCGCCGAAATGAAAAGTTCTCACGACTTCACTCGTACCATCTGTAATAAAATACGTAGCGTACAACAAACAAGCGACAAACAAACAAACGACAAACAACAAACGATTTTCCCGCTCGTTCATTTGACAATTACCGAAATAATGTCCTCCGCTTTCGATGACCAAAGTCGACGAATCTTCCAATTTCAAATTCGTTTTGTTATTCGTTTCGTAGTAGAAAAAACCGCCGTGGTGACCGTATGTCGCCACCGTCGGAAATGGTACCCCTTGATTTAAATTTTGTTCGGATCTAAATTTATCCAAAGTATTTACCACATCTACTTCCGTCCAATTCGTCGAAAGTTTTATCTGTTCAAACAAACAACAAACAACAAATGAAACGACGAGTTTTTTTTTTTTAAGTTGGTAGTAAAATTTCCTCAACCTCTTCGTCCATGAGTGCTAAAAAATCAACAAAAGCAGCCGAATCCCTTAGATTAGCAGCTCTCATCCCTTCACATTCCGCAGAATTTTTTTTCGCTTTCATCAATATTATCGGGGATTGTCTTAGAAATCGTTTTTCCGGTGGCACGGCTAAAACGATCGCTTGACTCGCACCCGAACTGTAAAACCACGTCGACGGTATCAAAACTTTATCCCACGCTTGGGAAAGTGTTCGCAGTTCTGTAAAAACTGCATCGTAGGGAAACAATCTGGAAAACGAAATCGTCCATTGTTCATTTATACCTTTCTACCTTTCGTTTCCGGTTACAAATTCTCCTTTTTCCATTACCTCACGCTCAACGATCCGTGACTTTCGACTCTCAACTGTCTCCTTATATCATCGCTTACTTTTTCTTTCGGAACGTACAATCGTAACCTTTCCCTTTCCACTATCAAATACGCTTTCACGAAAGGATTGTAATTCGTGTCTCTTCCTCTTATGTTCAACAACCAAGCGATTTCTTCCAAAGCCGTCACTATCATGGCATCGCAACCGAAACGTGTTAAATTATGACGTAGATTTATTACTTTACTCTGCCACGATTCTCCTGATGGATGAGGCGAACAAACAAGCAAACAAACAAACAAACGAATCAAATCGATATTGTAATCGTTACCCATCTATTATTTATCGATTTTTTTTTTCTTTTGATAGAGATACCTGTGTACCTGCATATTCCTGCGGTAAAACAAATGCAGGATATGGATTGTAGGGTGGCCTTCCTATCGTCCATATCAAATCGATTAAATTATTCGGCACTTCCGTCAAAACCAATTTATCCGCCGCTAAATAATAAAAATCGTCTGCTTATTTTTGTGTGGTCTCTCTTAACGTACCTAGATATTTTTATCAGACTCACCCAATTCTCGGTTCCATTCTTCCCACGTCGAACTCGGTATCATTCTAGGATCGGCACCGACTCTATACAAACCTCTTTTCAATACTTTTTTTAACCATTCCGTCAAACTCGGTACCTGTTGTACGAAACAAAAATAAAAACGATTCATTTTATCATATCGAAAAAAAAATCGGTCACGTGATAGAAAAATAATTATTATTACTCCTGGTTCTCCTAATTTCATGAGTTCCCAATTGCAATCCAGCTGTTGGTCTGCTAAAGCGTAAAATTTTTCCGTCGTCCAAAGTGCTGCCGAAGATTTCGTTATGACGGCATATCCGTACATGCCAGTAAAACCGGAAATGTATTCGAGTTTTTTATCTCTGTCCGATAAAAATTCACTCTGCGAAAAAAAAAAAAAAATTTTAATTAAGCTCAATCATCATCATCATCATTATTATTATTATTTAAAGTCAATCAACCGAGTAAATATTAAAAAATTTAAATTTTTACGTCACACATAATAATAATAATAATAATAATAATAATAATAATAATAATAATAATAATAAAATGGGAAATTTATTATTATGATGGAATAGGTGGAGAATGTGGCACCGCCCTAATAAAATCTTAGTTAAACAGGTCGAAGATCACCAGACCGGAAAATAATGATAATAATAATAATAATAATAATAAATTACTTTTTTTCGGTTATTATTATTAATATTATTCGACGACGCCATTTTTTTTTTTTGTTTTAAACGCGATACAAAGATGTATACCTGATGTTCGTCGTCGGATGTTATTATGAAAGCGTTCAATATCGGCCCACGTACTGACGTCATCCTACTCATTTCATTTCTTAACCAAATGAGCCTTTGAGTCGTATTCACACGATTCGGTAGCCAACTCGTCAGCGAACCTTGAGGACATTGAAGCCTTTGCGCGTCAACGTCGAAAAACGAAGCTGCAAACAAAGAAAAAAATGTTTAATAATAATAATAATGATAATGGTAAAAAAGAGAAAATCGTTTATGCAAAAAAAAGAAGAAAAGAGAAAAATTAAAGCGTTTTTCCAGGAGTAATAAGTCCTTTTACGACGACAAATAAAAAAATAATAATAATAAGAATGTCGGCGTCGTTCATGCGGGTGATAAAGTCGGTGGGAAAAAAATAAAATAATAATAATAAAAATGGAAATGGGTCAGAGATAATGATAACAAAATTTTCGGCTGGAATATTAAAAAAAAAAAAATCCTGACCGCCGATTTACCTGCCTACGGTACTGCCACCATATATTTTTTTTAACAACGACGGATAAATTCACGTGGGAAATTTAATTAATTATCATTTTTTCTTGGATTTCCGTTTTTTTTTTTATCATACTTTCCTATCAGTAGTAAGAAAAAAAATTATTGGTGATAACAATTGTAATGAAGATAAAGATGACGTTATATTGATGATGGTAATGGTGACGGTGAGGCGATGATGATGGTGATGGTGTTGGTGGCGGTGACGGCGATGCTGATGATGGTGTTGGTGGCGGTGGCGATGATGGTGATGGTGATGTTGATGATGGTGGTGGTGGCGGTGATGGTGATGGTGACGATGAAGATGACGATGATGATGATGGGGATGGTGATGGTGATGCTGATGATGATGATGGGGATGATGAAGATGAAGATGATAAAGAAAATGATCATGATGATATTTCATCTAACGTTGATGATTATTATGACGATGATTATGATGATAATGAAGATGATTATGATAATGATGATAATAAATATGATGATGATGATGATAAAGATGATGATGATGATAATTTTGCAGTTAATTTTTAATTTAAAATTTAAAAATAAAAAAAAAACATTATGAAAAAAAAAAAAAAAAACTTTTCTTATATTTTCCGGAGTTGAATAACGCCCAATGCAACTTAATGCTCCTTCCTCCCTCCTTCCCTCCCTTCCTCCCTATTCTCCTCAATTAAAATTTTTTTTTTTTTTTTTTAAATATCAAACCGCCTTTTTTTTAGTTTTTGTTTTATGTACATATATCTAAACATATGCAAATGAAAAAATTAAAAAAATAAAAAAATAAATAAAACCCAGAAAACAGTTTAAGAAATGACGTTTTTTATAATGATGATGATGATGATGATGATTTTAATCGTACTATGTCAAGGTCGTAAAATTTTTGGAACATCGCCCGTTCATTAAATAATTTTAGGAGGTTTTTTTTAATAATCAAAAAAAAAAAAAAAAAAGGGAGCAAATTAAAATGAAGCGAAACAAAACAGAAAAAAAAAATTTTCTTTCGATAATAATAATAATAATAATAATAATAATAATAATAATTTTTATGTTAAGAACTCAAAAAAAAAAAAAAAAAATTTTCACGAACGACGACAGCAACCGGGGGGGAAAAAAACATAAATAAAATAATTTAAAAATTATTTCAGTTTTTTTTTTTTTTTTTTAAATTTTTTCACTACAATTTTCAAAATTGACCAAAAAAGGGCGTGGCACTAAATTTTTTTCTAAATGAAAATTACAATTTCGAATAAAACAAAAACAACAACAACCACAACTCGTAATAAAAACGCAAACCTTTCAATCATAATAAAATTCGTTAATAAATAAATAAATAAAAACGACAGGAAGAATATAAAGATTAAAAAAAGGTTTGAAAAAAGGTTTTTAGTTAAAAAAAAATTTTCCCTTCCTTTCCTTTCCTTTGTTTTCATTGGCTGTCAAATAATAATAATAATAATAAAAAAGTGAAAACGAAACACGTTCCTTTTTTTTTTTTTTTTAAATAAAAATTAGAACGAACAAATTTTTTTTATATTATTAAATGTTGCAAATCCGTTCGGTCACTATTATTATTTATAGAACACGTTCGTTTTTCTCGTTTGACTCCTCCGCTTTGTTGCATCATACATTTTTTGGAGCCGTTTTCATGCGTCCCCCTCCCCTCCCGCCGTTTACACAAATTCGTTCGTTTGCTCCCACGTGTGTGTCAGTGGATTGACGCGTTTGATAATCAATCAAAACAAAACGAATAAATTTTTTCGTGTAATGTTCCATTTTAAAATTAATTTTTTTTAAAACAATCTCTCTCTCTCTCTCTCTCTTTCTCTTTCTCTCTCTCCCTAAAAATTATTATTATTATACAGCGCTATAAAAAAAAATTTTTATTTTTTATTTGTTACGTCATCATCGCTTACACACACATTCAAAATTTTTAACGTTTTTCGAATAATAATAATAAAAAAAAATTTTTTTTTTTATGTGCAACGGATTCCATTTACACAATAATTATCGTTATTATTACTATTATTATTATTATTATTAATGATATTTTTGACAGTGATTTTTTTTTGTTTGTTTTCAAAGTTTAAAAGCGAATTAAAAAAAAAAAAAAAAAAACTTCCCACAGATTTTTCGTGCCAAAAAAAAAAAAAAAAAAAAAAATTACAATTGCACACAAATATTTTTCATTTATTCGCAGTAACAAAAATTGGCACCGAAGAAATTTTTTTTTGTTTTAATTACGCACTCGGCACGCACGCACTCACGCACACACACGGACGTACGCACTCATCAAAAGGTACAAAAAGGAACCAACCTTTTTCTTAACGAAAACGAATGAGGTGATTTTTGACACAATAAAAAAATTATTACGCAGGTTTTCTTTCGTTTCTCTCGAACGGATTTGCAATTTAAAAACAAACAAACAAACAAACAAATTGTTTGTTTGTTTGTTTGTTTGTTTGTTCGTGTCGAAATTTTCGATGATGTTGATAATAAAATATAAATATTTTATACATAAGACCAACCCTTTTTTTTTTTTTTTTTTTAATAAAGATTAAAAAAACAATCGAAAGATGATTTAATACGGACGACTCATATGAATAACAACTCAATTATTAAATTTCAATGATAAAAAAAACAAAAACAAAGAAAACATAAAAAATTCAAAATGGCGTCCGTCCGTTCGTTCGTTTGTTGTTTTTCTTTTCTAAACATTTTAATATCATCGAAACGGCTTTGGCCTCCTCGATGGAAAAATTTCGTGTTGTCGTACTAATTAATCATGTGAAAATTTTTTTTTTTTTACATAAACTACATACTCTTGATTTTCGTACGAATCTTTTAATTATTATTAATCACGATTTTATCACTTCCCCTCCCCTCTCCTCCCCCCACTTCCTACCTTTCCTCTTTTTCCTTTGATCGGAAAATCGTCTGATTTTTTTTTCATCGAAACTTTTTTTTTTTGCCGAAACAACGATTAAATAAAAGGAAAAACTTTGTTTATTAAACGATGATTCGAGAGTAATAAACATTTTAAAAAAGTCTAATCCCACGTCATTTTTTTTTTTACGTGCTGGGAAACCTCAGAGGAAGGGGTGGGGAGGAAAGGGAAAAGGGGAAAAAAGAAACATAAATGCTCTCTGTTGCTGTTGTTGTTGTTTTAACGATACCGATCCATTACGAGAACCACGCCCTTAAAATACCTTTTTTATAAAAAAAAAAACCGGAAATGCTTCCGTGTTTTTCCTTTTAATGCTACCTATCATATCTAAACGATCAACCCCTAAAAAATTTTTTCCTCCCTTTAATAATTTTAACGTAAATATACGTTCCAAAATTTCTGCTGTCTTCTTTTTCTTCTACTTCCACTTTCACATTTCCTCACCCCGAAAAATATATATTTTTTTTTTTTTTTTTACCATCCGATTTTTCTTTTGACCTTTTTTTCCAACGCGTTCTCTTGGGACGTCGTTTTTGTTTTTTTTTTTTTTTTTTTTTTTTTTTGTTTGTTCGTTTTGTCTTTGTTTTTAACTTTCCCTCTCTTTTCCTCTTTCCTTTTTTTTTCAAAGCATCGTATGGAAAATAAAAAGGTCACTTCATGCGCGACATTGTTGTTCGTTCGAAAATTGACGACAACACTCGCGCTACACGCCTCATTCGTTTCTTATCCTTTTCCCAAAAGGTTTTTTTTTTTTTTAAATCATCGTGCGAGTCGGAAAAAAAAAAAAATTAGCAGAAATGCCAACCGTAGAATAACAAAAAAAAAATTCCCTTACCACACACTCACGCACTCACGCACACACACACAAAACTTAAGCGTGAAAAAAAGAGAAAAAAAAACGGATGTGATAATTAGTAATTTTGAATTAAACACTTTTTTTTCGTGGCAATAAATAAAACGATAACGTTTGCAAAACCTTAAGAAAAAAAATTTTTGCAAAAATACGCAATTTAAATAATAATAATAATAATAATAATAATAATAATAATAATAATAATAATAATAATAATAATAATAATAATAATAATAATTTTTTTTTCTTCACTTTATGAAGAATCGGAAATTCTACCTGATTCCTAACCAGATCAAATCGAATAATCGTAATAATAATAATAATTAATCTGACGTCGCTACATCCACGTCGTCGTTGTCTCCGTCACACGACAAAGTCATTATAGAAAAAAAAAAAAAATCGTACCTTTAGAAAAAAAATCGTGTAATTAAATAAAGTCGTTATTTAACAAAGTCCCAAAAAAAAAAAAAAAAAAATTTGATCGAAATATAAAACTATTTTATAGTCAATAAATTTCGAATAAATCGTAAAATAGTAATAATAATAATAATAATAAATTTTCGGAATTAAAATTTATTTTTTTTTCCAGTTCCAGTTTCAGTTCCAGCAAAACAATTTTTCATTGGTTTCCATTCAAAAAAAAAAAAAAAAAAAATTTCGGTTTAGTTTAATTTAATTTCATTTTGATTTCAGTTTCAATTTTCATTACAATAAATTTTACCGCCCCCGCGTCCTCCAGTC